ATATACGATATGGGACAGGTGCACACAAATATGTTGGGACTGGTTAGAAGTATGATCACTGGGCAGGGGCTTCCTGGACCACCCTACCCAAGTCAATGGCTCTATACTAGTCGGACAGGTTTTGCAGGGGTCTTTTGTTGGAGTAGGCAAAAGAGAAAGTATACCAGACGTTCTGATATGGCTATGGAGATCTCCAGTTGTAGGGAGATATAGCACAACTTTTCCTCATCAACCAGGAAAGCACAAGAGGATCGTACCATCACACACATTTCGGGCAAGTGGAATGTAAGGGGGAGGGGCATATTCGGGTCACTGTATGGGTACGTCTACCCAAGCTATCTCTCAATTATAATCATGCCCAGCACGACCATCATCGAAAGAAACTCACTAACAGGACGGGAACAGGGTACAGGGGACATCCACACCAACACATGCATAATGTATGTGCTTTCAAGACATGACACTGCTAGATGTTCCAGTGAGTCATGGTAAGGGTTTTACAACTGGGATCTATAATTTTGGCTTGGGAAGATTTGATATGTTTGTATGTTAGGTCCCACCTACATACCAAACCAGAGGGTCTGTGGTAAAGATACGTACCACTTCACACTTTGAAGTAGAACAACGGGCTACTTCACCAACCTAAAACGATACAGTCCTGTGGAATGCTACAAGGACCGGGTCTTTGGAACTCTCAAAACGGCAATGCACACGTACCAGTGTGAAAAACAAGATTAAACTAGCATCAAACAACACATTGACACCATAAAACGATTGAAAACAATACTACTTTGAAATATTTCTTTAAAAAAAACCAAAGTGGGTCTAATTATTAGGTAATAATTAAACGGCTGCTAGAAGTGGCTAGAACCCTAGTCCCTAGTCTAGTCCCAGACTGTTATCTTGTTCCAAAGTAGTATCACTTAAACAGTAACAATTGAATAATAAGACAATTACATATGGGTTTATAAGTCGTTACTCAGTCTGTCATAAGTCTTATAGTCAATCAGTAATAAATGTGTTAACTGTCTGGCTACACGTTATAAATGGGGCTAATGCTGTTTATATTAATAAACTGGGGGTTCTAGCCACTTCTAGCAATGGTATCCAGGGTGAATGGTGTTTCTAGCCACTTCTAGCAATGGTTACCTGGGATGTACAAGGGTTCTAGCCACTTCTAGCAGCCGTTATCCAGGATGTATAAGTCCCAGACTGTTATCTTGTTCCAAAGTAGTATCACTTAAACAGTAACAATTGAATAATAAGACAATTACATATGGGTTTATAAGTCGTTACTCAGTCTGTCATAAGTCTTATAGTCAATCAGTAATAAATGTGTTAACTGTCTGGCTACACGTTATAAATGGGGCTAATGCTGTTTATATTAATAAACTGGGGGTTCTAGCCACTTCTAGCAATGGTATCCAGGGTGAATAGTGGTTCTAGCCACTTCTAGCAATGGTTACCTGGGATGTACAAGGGTTCTAGCCACTTCTAGCAGCCGTTATCCAGGATGTATAATGGTTCTAGCCACTTCTAGCAATGGGTACCAAGGAAGTATAAGGGTTCTAGCCACTTCTAGCTATGGGTACCAAGGAAGTATAAGGGTTCTAGCCACTTCTAGCTATGGGTACCAAGGAAGTATAAGGGTTCTAGCCACTTCTAGCTATGGGTACCAAGGAAGTATAAGGGTTTTAGCCACTTCTAGCTATGGGTACCAAGGAAGTATAAGGGTTCTAGCCACTTCTAGCTATGGTAACTTGAGATGTATAAGGGTTCTAGCCACTTCTAGCTATGGGTACCAAGGAAGTATAAGGGTTCTAGCCACTTCTAGCTATGGGTACCAAGGAAGTATAAGGGTTCTAGCCACTTCTAGCTATGGGTACCAAGGAAGTATAAGGGTTCTAGCCACTTCTAGCTATGGGTACCAAGGAAGTATAAGGGTTCTAGCCACTTCTAGCTATGGGTACCAAGGAAGTATAAGGGTTCTAGCCACTTCTAGCTATGGGTACCAAGGAAGTATAAGGGTTCCAGCCACTTCTAGCTATGGGTAACACGTGACTAGAATGGGGGGGGGGGCGTGTTACACTTGCAGTTGACTTAGGGAACTGGAACTGGCTAGAAGTCACGTGTATCATGTCATGTCAATGGAAGTCAAATGTAAATGGGAGGGGGATAAACATATCTCACTAAACTCCTTAAAGATAAACAAAACAACACGTTTAAAATTATCTAATCTATTTCAAGAATTATAAAATAATCACATATAATTGGTACAAGTAAGTTTATATACGTTACATACACAATTGAAATACACCAAGACCAATCAAACACTTAAATCACAGTAAAGTGGCTGTAAAAGGCTAGAAGGAGAGCTTAGCTAATAGGAGCTAGATGATGACTCACTCAAGCTAGAACAGGCTGATCTCATATCCAACAGAATAGATAGCCCCTTTCTTTCATTAAAAAGGTCATATTTTCACGTTCATTAGAAATTTCAGTATACTTTTAATAATTAAACCTTGCTAATTACGTTGATAACATTGATAATTTGATGAGAAATCGAGATGAAATTACACGAAAACACATGGAAATCACTTCAAAAGTTCACATCTCAATTACTGGTCAATTACTGAAACAATCCCATTCAAAGTCATAGAACAATTAAAATATATCATTATAATTACCTTGAACCACAATGCACCACGATTCACCAACGCAAACTGCTATAAATCCAAGAAAATGAGGAGAAAACACAAACTGGTCCACCATGATTGAGAAAATTCCAAAAGACAAGTAGTGCACAAAATCCCTACGCCAAATCACATGACCAGATGAATCACAGTTCAAAATAAGACAAACTAAAGTTATGTACATATATTTAAACATGCATACAATAGAATAGACATACTAAATAACATACATAAGTTAAAGTAATCACATTAAGGCAAGATGATCAATGGACCTATATCCTGTAAGCAGAATTGTATAGAGTGAACAGGCCAAACGTTGCACAAGCGTATGAGTCATGGTGACCTTTACTAAAGTTAGCAAAAATAGTACAGTAAAACTCCTTACTGGTGAACAGTGAAACTATTAATTAATGTAGTTGAAACAATGCAAATATGAGGATCAGTAACGGCACATCAGACCAGATATAAACCATTGAAAAGAGTAGACAGGCTGATGGGTCGTTACAGTATCATTTGAAGATGAAAAAATGGGCACCAATAATAATAGGCTACAATATATTGAGACTATATAACATACAATACAATATAAAGTGTGCAGACGGTTAATAATTTTACACATGATATATCAATGCAGGATTCGAACCTGAAACCTAATAAATACAAACACAATTAATAAATACACATTATGCCAACGCTTAAACCATTACGCCACAGTGGGAGAGAAGCCGACGATTTCGACTACACTATAACTTGGATGCTAGTAACTACAAGTATTAAATCCTATCAACGGGGGACATTACAATCTGTTACTGGTGTGACAGATCTGAGAGTCTCCCCAGTTACAACTGTCTCCTCATTTTACCCTTATTCGATAAGAATGAAAACATCCCTGTACCCCATTTTCTTAAATGTTTGGCACAGTAAGAATTATACCCTCCTTTGAATATTTTTGGTAATATTAACATGCTCTTAGCGGGAGTTTTGGCTCTTCTGAAGATGGAATGGTATAAATAAAACGTAATCAGTTGCATTGGTACCACATATCAAAACCATGAACAGGATCACAATGGTCAGGGTGTTGATAATACCTTTTAGAAATATTCCAAAGGAGTGGTATCGATATGGAGAACTTTTTGAACACACGTTTCTCTTAACCAGTCATAAAAAATCTTTTGAATGGTAACAATATAATTTGAAAAAATGAGAGGGATATGTGAAAAAATCACAAAATGAGAGCATTTTTATCAGAATATATGGATCGCCCCTTGTATATGATATATACTTTCATCTATATTGTTTTAGAAAATATATCATGTTTCCAGAGTGAAATGAAACATATTTCCGAACCTCATTGGAACAAAACGACATAAACACAACATGTTTAGGTCTCTCAATATTGTAATTATACAAAGAAATTTTGGTTGATTTCAAAAAAGTGTCTTGTTAATGAAATAAAAGGTTTATCTTGATTTTTATATATTTTGGGGGATTTTGTTTTATTTTTTGAATACTTTTTTAAAATCAACCAAAAATTCCTTTGTATTACTATAACATTGAGAAGTCTAAAAAATGTTGTATGTGCTATTTTGTTCCAACAAGATTCGAAAAGACATTTTATTTCATTCTCAAGAATTGGTAGAAAGGAGCAAAAACAATTGCACTAAAAAAGCAAAAAAATGTTAAAACAGTTATATAAAATATTTCTCAATGATTTTTGCATTAAATTGTTGTCAATCAGTCAAGATTACATAAAATACCGTGTTCTTTACAGAATGTTTTCAATGATTGGTTAAAGAGAAAAACATTGTTGAATTCAGTTCTCCATATCGATACCACTCCTTTAAAAACTCTTTCAATTTTAAATGTATAATTAAACTAATACATGTATGTTTAATATGTTTCCGTTGTCACGTGCGCATACATATTGGTCAAATTTTCTGAAAAATTAAAAACAATTCTCCTTGGAAGAACATTTTTTCAAGCACATGATGTTCATTTCATGTGACACTGTGTAGTGTCTTAGATAATCATGTCTGGTATATATTTCTTTTGATAAATGATAAATAAATCCTAATAGCAGCTAGGTATCTTTTAGCACTATTTTGAATATTTTCAACCACGTATCTAGAGTGCAGTATGTCTAGTACTACCCCCAGTTGACCATTGAGATCTCTGTTCTGTTTCTGATATAGGGTACAAGAACAAATGCAATATTGATTAAAGGTCAAAGGAGAAGTGATCCCAGACTTTGTTTACCAAGCTGTTTCTAAGTAAAATCTTGAATAACGAAAGCAAAAGAATAAGGTTTCTTAGTATAGGAAGTATCAAATTTATTTTTCATTTGAAAACTATTTAAAAACGCGAAGCATAATTGTATATGCGTTTGCATTCCGGAGACGGACACGGCAAGACAGCCATTGAAGCACCCTTTACACTGTTAGCGACATACTGAGATGAAGCATTCTATTTGTCTTGCGTTTGGACTGACAGTTGTAAGTATATTTTGTATATGTAAGTTTATGTGCATCGGAGAATGGGTTTTCTCAACAGTGCAGCTAGGTTGTTTTATAATATCACATCTATGAAAAACATAGAATTGGCAATTCATCTATTCATATTTGGATGTCTGCGACTTGATAAAGAAGAATTATAAAAGCTCTTGAAGAATGCATGATATTGGACAGGCTCTGATGCAACAAACTCTGTATACTGTTTTCGTTTTTCTCGAGTCTTTTCCAATGACAATTTATGTATTTAAATATATATGGTGGGAAACAATCATGAACATTCATTCTATGTTTCAAATATTGTTGTAGATATGTGTAGCTGGATTGTCGCATGGGTCAGTTATCTCCGATCTCATCGATTTCAAAGACGATCCTCTTCAAGAACATGACAGTGGTAAGACAGTCAAATTCTTCAATGTTTCTTCATTCATTGTATTAAATATTACTTGATTATCTCATCAATATGGTCAGCTTGTTTAGTTGAGGGAGGGAACCCAGAGTTCAGAGATGACGTCAACTTCGATGGATCTTTATGTAAAGATGACCCTATTTTAATTGATATATGACTGATAGATATATGACTGATAGAAATCACGCCATGTCGTCGCTGATTGGTCAAATGCCATTTATTGATCAGTCGCAAACAAAAACAAAATAGCAGATTTAAACTGAGGGGTGACGCCTGAGCTCTGAGTTCAAGATACTGAATGTTTTTCTTTCAGCAGCAAAAGATGAGGAATTTGGTTCCAGGAAGAAGCGCGCTATTGGTGCAGTAACTGCTACACTGATTTCCGCGGGTATAGCAGCAGGCACAAGCCTCATAGGAACAACGACAAGTGCTCTTCAGGCGCAAACTGGCTTCGTCGTAACGGTTGGAATTGAAATGGAGAACTATTCAAAATGGTTATTGGCAGACCCGCGTGCTAGAAACCATTGGGGGCAAATAGCTGTAAATATCAACTTTCTACATCGATATAATTATATGATCCTATATTGCCATTGCCATTTTTGTATCCCTTGATATTTTTACATTGACATTGGGTTATTCATCTTTATTCATATACACGCCTTCCACTTTGACTAACAAGGTATGCTTTCAGATATACTTCCCTGTTTCAATTATGATTTGATATATCGAAATATTTATTCTTATCATCAATCAAATAAAACGTATTCAAGTTGTAGAATATTGGGTGAAAATTAAACGGAATAAACTTATTATAGCTCTGATTTTGAAGTCATGTTGTAGACTTAATCATTATTTTCCAGGTCCCGCCAACTTCAGTGAAACCTCGGACGAAGGAAACCATGATCGCTCACAAGACTGGCCATCTCGCGACCGGAACCTCAGGTGTCGCATCATGGAGATTTGCAAAAGGAGGCCGCGCCTATAGAATAATAGTTATGTGGTCTGTCCCCTACAACCAAGATCACTATAGCAACTGGCTAGGGCTTGGCATCCGCCCCGAACAATCCACCGACCCGGCCTTCAATGACATGTATTACCGTACTGACGATTCCTGGTTTGTTAAAAAGGATTTTTATCACAACACCAACACGCTCAAGTTTTGCAAGTTTGGCGTATGTGTGTCTGGTGCCATGGGAACGACTCATAAGCCAAGAGTGATTGTGAGGTTCATACCCCAGAGCATTGACGATCTCGCCATCGGTTTAAAGGATATGATTGATGGCTAAAATGATGTGGACACATGGAACACTATATGACATCTTTAGGTGGAAGAACTCAGAAATTTATATATCTTTTTATAATGATGAGATTTGAACGTTTTTCATTTGAGAAAATAAAAATTGAATGATACTGAGGAAGTTCATTACCATACTGTCATTTCAATATTATATCATACAGGGTGACACGGAAGTGCCACCCAAATAATTGTGCAAGACTTTTTTCTCTGCATGGTTTCCGGCTTATTCTTTAGCACATTAAGACTGGACTCTATACCCTTTGCATTCGTTCGACTTTGCTTCTCAAATCTGAGAGCTTCGTCTTCTTATAACTAGACTCTGCGCGCAGGGTAGGACTTCATGGAGCACTGGATGCACTTTTAATTTTCTATCACGTTCTTATACTGTATTATACTGGTACTTATGTATGTAGTTGATGGGAGGGGGATATATTGTACGAGCAAAGGATTGAATTTACAATTACAATTTGTGTTTTTTAATAGTATAGTTTCTATATCCAATAAAGTACCTGAATAAAGCTGAAATAATAGGCGCGACCCTTGTCATTCTTCATTTGCTTCGGCCAGACTGCCATTCGACATTCTTTTCAATGTTAAAAACTTGCAATAGTCACTTAATTGCATGATTTATCAAAATTTGATGGTTGATTCTGTCTCGAATGACATACTATGGGATGACCCCGTCAATGTACCTGTTGTGATTAATCATGAAATTTTTGATTATCAAACCAAAAAATCAAGGTTTTAACGAATCTTAGCATTACATGATTTAAATGACATAACCGTATAAATCAAAGTTAGAAAAAGAAAGAAAAGTTAGTCGTTAGAGGTAAAAATACAAATCTCTTAAAAAATCTTATGATAAACACACTTTAACAAAGAAGTATAATGGCAATGAGAATGTTTTACAATCAAAAATGACAGAGACCTCCTAGTCATTTTTTTTTGTTTTGGTGGATTTCTGTTCTTTTTTTAAAGATCTTCATGTCTAACTTATATTGGTTCTCGATTGGAGGGGGGGGGGAGGGGATGTTAGACATTGTTTCTTTTCACGTTAGATCATGGTTTTGGGATATATAGGGTCTACTTTTCTTATGACAAATTTACACTTACAGTTTGCTTTCCTTGTTGGGTTTCCTTAAAGTTTTTAGTCACCCTTCCCTTTTGGCATTTGTGCTTATATATTTTGACCTTTATACGCAGCTACCGATAAAGGACCGGGCGGGTGCCACAGTGTAATATGGGTGTTGCCCACGGGTTGCTTTTGAATTTAGATTACCGATATCTTGTTTGGTATAAACTTTTCCTTTCCTTGTCTTCGAGAGCTTGTATGCCTTGGAGTGTTTGGAGGCTCCCAATAGATTTCAAGTTAGATGAAGTAAAACGCATTAATCCGTCAAACTGCTTAATCTTGATCCATGTGCAGCCATAAATTGACCAGGAGGGTGCTTTTAATGATTTTCGTGGAATAATTTGGGGAAAATTTTCAAATCCGACAAAATCTCCAAAAAATGTTGGCCCAAAATCTGTTCGGACCCTATGCCCCCCTACCCCCTGGTCCTGGATCTGCGTGAAAGGTGAAAGGTAGTGATTGTTCCACCAGTTGACACAAAAGTCGACAGCAGTGAACATAATTACTTTCTCCAGTGTCTGTGATAAGGAGCAACTATCCCGAATACAAATATTACATTACACGAAGTGCCATGTGAACCGTTCTTGTTTATCAGTTGTCTTGACAGCTCTCCAAGACATTACCAAGTAAGACCTTTTAACAAGAAAAACAAAAGCATGTTAAGGCCTCTTAGTCTAGAAGTTGCTATTAAGAAAAGAGGAACTATAGTATCAAATTTAGTTTTTCTTTTGAGAGTATGTAGAGCAAGATGCAAATATTGTCATTACGTTGGCATTCCGGAGACTGAATCAACAAGACAGCCATAGAAACACATTTTATACTGTAAGCGACATTATAAAATGGAGCTTTGTATTTGTCTTGTGTTTGGACTGGCAGTTGTAAGTATATTGTATATAATAATATGCAAGCCTATGTGCATTGGAGCGCAATATTAACGCATATATGAAAAGCATAAAAGGAGTGGTATCGATATGGAGAACTTTTTGAACACACGTTTCTCTTAAACAAGTCATAAAAAATCTTAAAATTTAACACATCGTCAATTTAATGGTCATCTTTTGAATGGTAAAAATATAATTTGAAAAATAAATATATACTTTCATATATGGGTACTCCTGCAAGAACCTCAATATATTGTTTTATAAATCTCAACCTATATGTATCTATCCCCAGCATAACCTAGAAGAGGTACACATGCATACTATATACCATTGGAAAGAGCATTTAATTGTTCTTAGAGTGTGAAAAGATGAAGATGGATGATAGAAAATAATACATAATTTGAACCAACTTTTAAAAGAGAGTTTGACCATCCCCGCAGCTTTAAACGGCTGCCAGTCTGGCTGGATATCAAGTTAAAAGGGCATTGAAAAGAGCAATGTCTTGAGCAGAGATCTCAATACTTTTTGAGGTTCTCCTGAAAGATATCTATGGAATATCTGTTATCTACAGCTTCAACTTCCATAAGTAACTCTGTTTTATCCATTAATATGGGCTCAATTTGAACTGAAGCATTTAAGTCAGAGTTGTTGCTCGGGTATTCACCATTACCAAAAAGGTCTATACAGGAATTTTTAAAAATCAATAAAAATAGCACTATACTGATGCATTTCAAATGCTTATGAAACTTTGTAGCAATATCTGACCCTGGTCATCTAGGGTTTATTTTATCCAGAATTGAATGCTCTTTCTAATGATATATAATGTATGTGTACTTCTCCTAGTTAATGCTGTGGAAGGGGGAACAACGCCATTTGACACCCTGTAAATGTATATGATTGGGAATAATGATAAACATGCATACTATATTTTTAACAATTGTTGTAGGCAGGGTTCAGTAATCTCATCGATTTCAAAGAAGGTAATGCAGCGTAAAATGTTTCTTTATTCGCTTTACAAAGATTGTACTTAATGTCAAACATTGCTCGTTTAGCTCAACATCAATATCCACTGGTGATCCGCTCGATTACGCTGGTTACCGAAACGGTTCGTTATCGGAACGTCGAAGGTATGATTTTTCTTTTTTCTTTAATTCACGGGTTGTCGGTAGAATCCCAACGACATTTATCCTCACAAGCATGTATCATTCAGTATCATATGTTTTAGAAAATACGCATGTTTGCTAAAAAAAAATAGCTCAGAAGACAACAGAATCGTTGATTTGATTCCTCACATAAGTTACATAAACGGGATGGTTTAAAAGTGCAGATCTCAACTGTTTTTCGAAAAATACATAGACTACTATCCTTGACAGAGAGATGATATAATTTATTTTAAAAAAACGTCAAAACACAGTTTTGGATTTAGAGTAAATCGAATAAGTGTCTCTTCTACAGATTATCAAACTTTTGCGAAAGTTTACTCACCCCTAGACTGTTAAGCCCAGAGAGGGTCTCCTTCTCTAGTGTCACATTAAACAGATGTTGGCGTGCTGTTCGTTTCTCTAGAAGGTCCAACTCTATAAACCAAATAGCCGGGATCACCCCCGAGAGATAAATGAACACGGTCGGGTTGAACCTTTAATAAAAAGAGCAGGGTTAAAGTTATTGAGAAAATATTTTTTCAATTTCCCGAATCTTCATTCGTCTCCTATTTTTCGAGATATTTTTCGTGATATTTTTCGTGTTTATGTTGTTTATGTTGATCACAGTGTTATAAGTCGTGCATCATCCCCGGGATCACCTCTTAGAGAATTGAACACGGTCGGGTTGAACCTTAAATAAAAAGAACAGGGTTAAAGTTATTGAGAAAATATTTTCAATTTCCCGAATCTTCATTCGTCTCCTATTTTTCGAGATATTTTTCGTGATATTTTTCGTGTTTATGTTGTTTGTATTGGCAGTGTTACGTCGTGCTGGGCATCAACCCCTGTTTTTGATGAACTATGTCAAAAAGCTGATAGTAATTACTGCCTAAGAACTAGGAAGTTCTATTTTAAATATGCAAAATCACTATAAAAAGTGGTATTGTCTTGCAAAGTTTCTCAAACTGAAGTACAAAGATATTTGGTAGGGTGTCAGAGTAATCGTTGCGCCGCCACGTCCACATTTCAAGGAGTGGACACTGGACATTCATCTTGCATTGCGGCAGTGTAGGAAATGTGCTATTGTTTGACATTGTATGTTTTGAATATTTGGGGTTTGACGTGGCTTGCACTATTGATCAAGATGTCAATATATATTCACAGGGTTCATTGTTGCCTAAACAAGTGTCTATAAACGTGTATATCCAAAGAAAGAGGAGCAAAGGTTTCAGCGATGTGTTCAGAATGACTAATAGGTTACGATACAATTAACAACTCGATGGACATAATCAATCAATTATGCCCTCTTTGTTATTAAATGATTCACCTCAAGTCGAATAACAAAAACACATATTCTCCCAAAACTCTAATAAATAACCTTAACTGTGTTCACTTCCTTCATAGGATGATCCCATGTGGTTTCTATCTTAAGCCGACAGCTACCAATAACAAGCAAAATAATGTTTGATATATGTTTTATAGTACACTTTAAACAGTAATTTACATGAGAAAATATTAATTAACGACCTTTAATACACAACTGTTGGGCACATTCTACTTCCCTGGTTGACTATGAAGTAAGCCATTATATTGGTGCTTAAATACAAATCATATAAATTTTTGTTTCATACTTTTTGATCTAATCAAGATCAAAAAGCATAAAAGCTGGAAAAGAGTAATTACAAATTAATAAGAGTTACCGGACGTATAACCCACGCATTCAGAATTGTGTGTTACATAAGTTTCCATTGAATCGTGTATTTAAAAAGTATAATAATATTTATAAATGTTTGTTTTGTAAATTATTTTTTCTATTAATTTTCAATTAAAGTTTCATGTATCTCTCCATGTTACACAACAAAAAGAAAAAAGTTTTAAAAGTTTTGCTTACCATTTCCACCCAGTCCATTCTGTTTCTCGTCGTTTCTTTGGCCTAAATGCGACAAAAGTCTCAATAATAAACGGAAGGAATGCGAGTAGAAGCAGCCAATAAATATTATTTTTCTTTGCGTCCACTAACCTCCAAGTGCACACCAGTCCGTGGATAAGAAATAAAATCCTAGCAATCGTTGCCTTTATCCGAGTTATCGTTTCAAGTAGAACGGGCATCGTTACTGTCTCATTTGATGTTTCCGAACAACGCTTTCTCGACAATATGATAGTGAAAATACTAGGAAATATAATGCATGCTTGCTCAATGTATTTTCATTGTGACTCTGTTTTTCTACACATTTCAGATAATTTTCATCACTCCATAATCCGTTTGCAGCTTTATTTCAGTTCCCAATATATATCTTCATTCAGTATTTTCCCTTCGTATAATAACATTCAACAACAGTTTTTGCCACATTCAAATATTTCCATTTGTATGTCAAGCGAGCTAATGATTA